GCTTTGTCCATGTGATTCGAATACATGGTGGCGACGTTAAAGTCTCCATGATTTAATATCATTCAGAAAATGAATGATATAATTATGTATATGTGTCGTGTTTCCACAATTGAACAGTTAGAGACCTGATCCAGATAACCAGTTATAGTATCATGGGTTTGATTCGTGAACAAAGCATTTCGTTTATTTTCTGAATGATATTTGATCGTCGAAAGCCAAAGGAAGTAAAAAGCATTATTGTATAGAAACGATACTCGTATTTATCAAGAACAGCAATCTCCTTATTTATCTCGTACGAGGAAAGATCCCCAACTGACGGACGCTGTTCGACTCCATATTATGGCTACAAGGTAGATTTCTATGAGACTAAGAAAACCCTAAAAGGATTCGTGCCCATGGCCTATCGGTGAATAGTTTTGACCATTTTACTGAATTTTGAGCATGCGACAAGGGATTTCCAAAAAAAATCAAATTAAAGAATTTCGACCTGAAAATTTATCCATGGATAGGTCTAATAGTCATTAGAATTGCTTGAAAGTTTCAGCCAAAACGAATGATCCTTTCTCGAGATATTGAATGGTCAAGTAAACTCAGTTTTTGTAACCTGTATGTGAAAAATGACTATGTTTTGATAATTTAATATCTCGAGGAAGGAACATTTGTTTTGGTTGAAACTTTCAAGCAATTCTAATGACTATTAGACCTAGCTATGGGTAAATTTTCAAGTCGAAATTCTTTAATTCGATTTTTTTGGAAATCCCTTGTGGCATGTCCAAAATGCAGTAAAATGGTCATAACTCTGCAACGATAGGCCATGGGCACGAATCCTTTTAAGATTTTCTTAGTCTCATAGAGATCTACCTTGTAGCCATAATATGGAATGGAACAGCGTCCGTCAGTTGGGGACCTTCCCTCGTTAGTAAATACTAAGAATCGTTGCGCTTAGACGAGAATCTCTATATCTTGTTTTTCATACCATTACCCCTCAATGGCAACTCCAATTGCTATTGCTATTTTGTTTCGTATCATCTCTTTTTCAATTAATTCGTGCAAAAGTTTTTAAAGGCATTTGATTCAATAGCATTAGCTTTCGTCGATATTTGCCGCGCAGCACATCGTTGAAATGAATGTCATTTGTGAGTACAAAAAGACAAGTTAAAAAGAGGGGATTATTTTTTTTTAACAATTTGATAAGTATCTTTTTCGTGAGTCCTCTTTCTTAGAAACACAACAAGACTAGAAAACTTTTTTTTTGACCAATCGATAACTTAAGGTGTTCTCTACACACAATATGTAGACAATCATTTGCAGTGATGGGATCGATTCGGTTCGGTTCCGAAAAACACGAACCGAATTTCATCTAAATACGATATCGTGGTATAATCATAGCTTTTTACAAGTTTGAAGTCGGTTCGACAAAACATGAACCGAATCCCATCACTGGTCATTTGACATCGTGTGTTCTTCATTTTCTGCAATGTTTCCTCAAATGGCAATGCCAATGTCCAATGAGAGATAAAGGGTTATATTAAAATATGTGTAACTAATAAAACAAGTATAACTGTATTAACTACCTATACTCAATATTGTTTTATTCTATACCGTCTCGTTAGGGTTTATTTCTTGATGTTTACGATTAGAATTTTCATTTCACAATGAATTTAGAATGTTAAGCAACATGACTTATTAAAGGCATGTAGGGTGCAGGAAATACCAAATTTAAGCAAAATTATTTTGGGTTACTTTTTATATGATTCGATAGTGCTCTTGGAATTATTTCTGAAAATAGTGCTTAATATATTTGGACAGTCTTCTTGCTGCAACATTTAGAAAAATTCGAGTGAGACTTAATGTATTTAGCGTGCTCGTGTTTTTATTCACTGTTCTAGTGTTTTCATCTTAGCTTTTTTGCAGTTTTACAGTAGGAAGACCATTCCAATAAATTAAGAACTAATTTCAAAGATCATTCCATGGGCACTATCAAGTCATATCGAAAAATTGCCAAAAAGAATTGTTTAAATTTTGCATTTTCTACACACTAAACTAGATCTAAAATGTTATCACAATTTGTGCAGGATGATGATTTTTTAGTTAAAATATGAAGTTATCAAGGAGAGCTAATGGAGACTTCTCTTCTGATTTTTCTTTGCCAGAGCCTTCTTTCTCATTACATTCGTATCCTAGAATTGAGGCTGTGTTTTCAAACATGATTGAATCCCAGGTCGAAAAGTACCGGCCGGTTCCGGCAGGAAAACACCGGAAATCAACGGAACATGGAAGCAGTATTCCGGCCGGAAATTTTTCGGATTTTTTCCGGTGGATTCCAGCCAATTCCTGTTCTTTCCGGCAGGAACCGGCCGGAAATCCGCCGGAAAAAGTCCGAAAAATTTCCGGCCGGAATACTGCTTCCATGTTCCGTTGATTTCCGGTGTTTTCCTGCAGGAACCGGCGATTTTTCCGCGTCTTTCCTGCCAGTTCCTGCAGTATCCGGTGACCGGAACGATCGACCTGGGAATCTAAGATTGAATAAGTAGAAATTGATTTAATATTTCTATCAACAGCAAAATCATGTGAGAATCGATCTAGCTATTATTACCTCTTACATTGCTTTTTATATCTGATAAATGAGATTAACTTAACAGCAATTAGAACTCTTTGCTCGGACACTGACAATCAGAAAGTATTTTGAAGGCTAGTGATTCTAAGTGCTAGTAAGAAACTTAATCTTATTCATCGCAATCCTCTCTATGAAGATTTAATGATTGAGATCTTAATGATGTTATTAAAATTTAAAGTATTGAAAGAAACTATGGCAGGTTATATAGGAAGGGTTTTAGAAATTGAAAGTATTCTTTTTTTTGGATTTAATTTTGAAAAATTTCGCGGTTTCACAAAATAAAAAATATCTTTTGCTTACCTAATTTGAGTTTTTCGTTTTACCTCATTATGACATATTCATTCATTCATTTATTCTAGATTAATTAATATTACCAACATCTATATACCACTAGCTTTTTAAACAACTTCGATACTTCCGCTGATCTACGAGCTACTAATTCTAGAAATGATTGGATTTCCATATGAATAATGTATATTAAGAAAATAACTTTGATACAATAATTTTATACTCTTCTTCATCGGTTTTTTTTCTTCAAATTTAACTGTATATCTCATTGGAAAATATTTCAAACATTATAGAACTTTCTTCAAAACACTTTAACTCGAATTTAAAAAGAACAAGAAGAAGAACAAATATGAGATTGTTTTATCAAAATTATTTTCTTTATACGCATTATTTATATAAGATTGCAATTATATCTAGAATTGGTAGCTCGTAGATTAGCTGAAGCGTATAAGAAAGATAGGTCGATATAAGACGCTTCTCTCATTGGTACAGTTCATCAAATCAAAAGCAAGTAAGACTATCGAGTATCTAAAACTGGTCATCCGTTGATATTTGAAACGTCTAAGTTAGCGATTAATTCACCATTTCGAATTAGATCAAACAGTTTTGTGATAGTGGACAAACTATCGTGTCTATACACTATATCTTGCTTTTAGAGTGTATCTATCTATTCTTTGCTTCTTGCTCCTCACATTCAGCAATGAATTGTTTCTTTTTCATCGTATTGTTAATGGTGGCTATGATTGTTTGTTTGGCGAAAGGTGAAGAGCAAACAGTGATATCTGAAATATATTCACTTGATGGTGACTTCGACAAGATTCGGGCATCTGCACACATTCAATTCGAATTGACTCATGTCAATGGTGAACCGAGTGTCATCATCGAAACGGAACAATGGTTACATACAGGCCGCTATATAACTGTTACAACAAGACCGAATAATTGTTTGTATCCATGATTTGAAGAATACTGTCAGCTTTTACTCATAACTTCCCATCTACTTTCTGAATGTTGAGTAGAAGCACTTTATCTATTCAAACATGAAACGGGCTTTTTGAATATATTCTATATGAAGAAAAAGATAGTTGAACAAAGAGAAACATTGATTTAATAGAGTTTTTGAGCAGATTTGTTAGTTCAATCTTATCTCAGTGTGTTACAAGCAAAGAAAAACTTTCATTGTTGCCTTTTATTCTGAAGACACTTTATTGAACAAAAGAACTGTTTCAAAATTGTTTGACAGGTCTCGATATCAAATTGGTGAGCGGCACTAATTATCCAGCAATCAAAGTGTATGTTAATTACCGCACACCTCTCCTTAGTTTGGAAATAGATGGAGCATCGTCAATGAGATCAAAAAACGTCGTTTTTAGTAATCCTTCATCGCTTTTGAATGTTGCACATTCTGGAACTGGCATCGTAATGCTCGAACTACAGCACGGCTCTAATATTAATGTTGCCATATCAGGTACAGGTCAACTCTCTTTATCCGGTCGAGTTCAAGGGAATGGACGATTGAGTGTCTCAGGTACTGCGAACTTGGATGCAATCGCATGTCCAATGAACATTGTGACTGTTGAAATGTCTGGAACTGGATTAGCTTCTGTTTATGGCGTAAAAGGAGTTCATGCCACCTTGAGCGGATTTGGTAACATTTGCTATCGAGGACCTTTGCTTAGTCAAGTGATAAGTGGTCTTGGCTCGATCAGAGAGTGTATTGTTGAACAGACGTCTACAGAACCTCAACATTCATCATCGCAAAGTGACAAAATCATGGATAGAAATCAACGATTAATGGTGATTCTTGCTACTACAGTTTTCTTTCTCTTCTTCTAATTTATCATTAATTGATACTCTTGTGTTTTTTTTCAGTTCATAACGCATGATCCTATAAAAGTATGCTTTTCCCTCAAAAAAATCTTCTTGCATTGATTTCAATACGATAATATTCTTTTCTTAGAAAACAACATGAGATATAAGAATAAGCCTGGTTTCAATAATATAATAGTTTTACGGCTATGCTGTGAGTGAGTGGAAAGAGCATACCCACACCCTATAACTTTTAATATAACAAGTGACGTGAATCGAAAATCGTTTCACTGGACCCTAGACTGGCACAACTCACACATATAAATATATGAACAGGGGACGAAGTCGAACATTTCTGGCACGAATCTCGAAATTTCTGAAGAGATGGCTGGATAAGCTCAAGCGAGACGAGGAAGGCAGAAGACGAATAAGTGAAAGTGGGTACCGATAAGACAAAAATGAAAAGTTTCAAAGAACAATGACTAAAAAAATGCATCCAAAGTCAAAGCAAATGACAGGTGCGAAATAGTGCCAGAACTATGATTTTAGTTCCAGCCGAAGGGGAGCTCTCAGCTTTCTACCAATAGGATGCACTGTTGACAGTTCTCGTCAGGGGTGCTTAAATATCTTTCAGAGGGGAAGAGATTGAGGTTCAGATATTAAGTGATGGAGGGATAAAAGTTCCTCGTGGGAACTCTGCCGGCAGGTGTGGGTGTGGATGGGTGTGCCTGTGGATGTCAGTTTGCACGTATCTATTCTTCAGATTTATTCCAACGCCTACACCCACATCCACACCATGATAAGCATGGAACTGGCGTCCATAATCAGCGAAGCTAAGTGAGTTGAACACATCACCGACCATGCTTGTGACAGTATTCCATCGCGCCTGTTGGGCAGGATTCGACCGAGCCAGTGGTGGCACTGGCTGCACCATTTCAGCGAACAATGGCGCTCGACATGCTCGGTCGCAAGCAAGCAAATTGTAGAAGAGTGTTGTACCACTACGAGCTAACCCACATAAGACAAAAGAAGGTGGCATTAAATTTGTTGTCATCTTCATTTCTGCATGAGCTACTACATAATTGAGCACGCACTTGCAGCTGGCGTGGTTTTGCTCCAGTCTCATGCAGAATAGATGACTACCCATGGACAATAATCGATTGTTAGAGAGTATAATGCGAGCATTCAATCGCAACGCATGTAATATCTCAGTGTGGTAACCGAATTCTGCTTTAGCTTGCTTACTAAGGTTATTATCGGACAGAGTGACGGTCGTACGCAGATCCATTGCAGTCACAGTGCTGCTAGGGTGTGAGTGTGGATGTGGGTGTAGTTGTTGGAATAAATCTGAAGAATAGACACGTCCAAACTGACATCCACATCTACATCTACGGGCACACGGACCCACACTCTTGTGCGCGAACGTATGATTGTAGGTTTGGGATGACTTTAAGGTTATGAGTGTAGATGTTTTGATCTAGCTCATTTTATCCACATTCGTATATACCCACACCCACACCCGCACTTTTTGCGTTACTAAACGTTAAATGACGTCCTATGTAAAATGTTCACTAGGTGTTGTCTTCACCATTGGTTCATTCTTGAAATAAAAAAAGTATTCAAAAATTGGCATTTTTGCATGAAAATTCAAAAGAAATGTCTTAATTCGACCATTATAATTCAAATAAATTATAAATCAAACAATCTGATTAAATTTAAAATGAATTGTCTTGTTTCTTCTCAGTTAGCTCGCTTATTTGTTCCGTTCGAGTATGACTAACATACATGAAGAGCACTGTGCTTGTTCTGCGAGAAATTTTTCAAAGTTTCTGCTTATATGCACAACACTTTTTAATCGTAACGATACCTAGACTGTACATCCACACTCTCGAAAATATGTTCTTGACCTTGGATATTATTTGCATCATTGTGTTTTCTATTAAATAATGTTATATAAAGGAAGAAAATATGAAAATTCGAAAAAATGAATTTGCTTCTGACTAGTTCTCTTAGTTTCAAGATTTTAGCATAAAGATTAATAATGAAAGCAAATAACCTCACTGTGCATCATACTCTACACGAAGAAAAGAAAATTAGAAGAAGTTTTACAAATGTTATTAATCCATTGTAACAGCATACAAATGTAAAAAAAAAAAAAGCAAGAAACTTGAAAAAGTGTCACATCGAGCTTATCTTTTGAAGAATTGCATTCGTCTAGAAATTTTTGTTAACAATGGTCACAAAAAACGAAGTACGTCCAAAAATGAGCGATTGGTCAACGCCACTACCTGAAGGCCCCTCAAATCGACTATCGCCACGAGACAATATTGCTAAAACTATAACTATGAAAGAGGCGTGTTTAAACGACGATCCGATGAAAACGTAAGTAGAATTAAGAATTCATTTTCAATGCTTATTTTTATACTTTCATCTTCAAGATCAAAATCAATATGTAAGTTGGTAAATTGTTCGTCACTGATGTCACCATGTTTTCAAGGTATGCTGTTGGGCATACTCATGAATGGTGTAGCATTGGCCATTGTACTTACACTCTGGTTGATGCCATCAAAAAACAACAAAGCGGAGAATATAACCAATGGTAAATATTTACATATTCTAGATTATTTTAGTTCTTCTAGAAATGAATAAATTTGAAGAATTCCAAAGCGATTTTCAATCAAGATAAGTGAGCTACACAAGATGTAAATAGTTAGCTATATGCAAAAAGGACACTGATGAGTTCGGATTAAGTATCATATGTGAATTTCTATAGGTTAAATATGACAAAATTCTATGAAATAAACAATGGTAAGAAAATATGAAATTTAGCATTAATACATTGAGTGAATCTCTGTTATATCTTCAATTTGAACAAGATTGTTAGGATAGGAAATAATTAATTGTTCACTAGAAAGGTAAATTGTACATTCGAATTGTAAGAAAGAACTTATTTCAACGATAAATAAGTTTATAGGGTGATGTTTATATTCGTTTTTTTCACTAACGGAAGAACCATCGCAAGGAAGACACTTTGCTTCAGATGAGTCTCCAGTTATGAAATAGACATTCTGAGACTAGGAAAAATTTAGGATACTTGTTGATGTGTTATCCTTTTGAAGTTATGACGATTAAACTAAATTTTTTACCTTTGGTATCATATTCATTCAAGAAATCGGACAAACGAAATTTGACGTAAAACTTCATTCATGTATAGTTCTTGAAGTCATTAGAATCTTTTAAAAATTTCAGCTAAAAAGACCGACCTCTTCTCGAGACCAACAAATGCACAAAAGTAACTAGATTTTCTGTCCCTTTTCATTGAATATCATGACTTTTTTTTTTTTTTTTACAGATTTTATATCTCGAGAAAAGACCAGTCTTTTCAGTTGAAATGTTTAGCAGATCCTACCTGCATAATGACGGGAGTTTCATTTGAAACGTGCTGTATTATGCCGAATGATTCTCTCGTAAGATCATGAAAAGATTATACGTATGACTTACATCTTCTCATCCGAAATAGATTAAGTTCCGAATCGAAATTTATATTCTGAGCATTTTAAGTGTAACAAAAACTGTTAGAAATATATCTTTTCAATATTATAACCCCCTTTCTTTTACAAAAATGACCAGAAAAAAGAGCAAATGATTGCTCTTGAAAGTGTCATCATCTGATAGAAAATTCTTTGGAATATTAAAATAAAATATTATTTAGAGAAGGAAAACTTTCTAGGAGTTCATTAAAGAATCTTTTACCTTGTTATTACAGGTTTCGAAAAATTATATTTTCAGAAAAAAACTCAAAAAGAAAGCAACTTTAGACAGTTTCTTGTTCAGATTCTTCGCGAGATAAGATGATTATATCAGCTAAATAATGGAATACTTTACATTATACTTTTAATTACTTTCTTCACCATTGAATCAGAACCTTGATGTTTTCAAAATAAGTTGTGCCTGTCAATTGACATTTGTAATAAAAACTGAACTCTTTATTTTTTTGTTTTGACTAGAACAGGGTCTACTAAAGATTAAAAAATTATCACTTTCACGTTAATGAATGTCATCAAAATTTAAAATTTTTCGCAAAGAGAAAAGTTCAATAATTTGTGCTTCTCATTAATAGGTATTGCTCAGGTAGATAAAGCATATGACTGTGTGTTTGTTATGGATTTATGGAATAAACAGATAGAATATTTGAAATGGTATAAGAAGTTTTAAAAAGTAATGTTTACTTTTTCTCTTGCTAGCTGAAAAAATGATGAAACAAAAGAAGTATACAAAAAACCAGCATAAAGAGTTCATGAAAAAAATATTTCTTTTGAACACTGGACGTAAAAAAAAATAGATAGAAAGATGTTGTTAGTAGCAGGGATAGAGCATGATTAACAGATTCTTTATTATAAATTTAAATAATTTTGACCAAACAAAAATTGGGAAAGAAAGATGGTCGTTTTCGAAGGTTCTATGGTACGATAGAGAGTAGAGTTACTCATATGTATGAACTAACAAGACTAAAAAAGAAATTATTATTTTGTGTTATTGAAAGTATTGAACAGAAACTGCAAACGCCATTTAATGAAAGTTTCTTTGAAACAAAACCTAAAATATCACATAAGTAGGAAGAATTATTCTTTCAATCTCCTATATTGTAATAATGCATGATAGGGAAATTATAATTTACGAAAACAAAAGCACCAATGAGTAAAACTATTAAGATGAGGGTGTGGATATGGGTAGGTGAAGAAAAAAATACCCACACTCGCACCCTCAAGAACTGTTTTTTTCTCTAAAGAATCCAATGAAATTTAATGCATTTATATACACTTTTGTTTCTGTTTAAATGAAATTTTATATTCTACTAAAAGACTTTTATTATTCTTGAAAAATCGAACAAAACTGGTATTCATTTTCTATAAAATTAACTATAAACTAAACGGCAATGACATGTGATCATTTTAGAGTTACCACCTGGTACCATTATTATGTTCAGTGGCAATTTATCATTACTTCAAGGTTCAACTAATCTTTGGTTACTCTGCGATGGATCAGAAGTGTCTCGTAGCACCTATCAAGACTTATTCAAGGTGATTGGTGTTATGTATGGATCAGGCAACGGCATTGATACCTTCAATTTGCCTGATTTTCGCTATCGGTTTCCATTGGGCAGTAATAACAGCAATGACAGTCAATTGATCTCTGGTGGTGATTCGTCACGTATGCTAACTGTGTCACAGGTGCCTCCACATACTCATACTCAAGGTACACTGCAAACACTTGTTAACGGTACTCATACACACACATATAGTGATCCAGGACACAATCACGGAGGATCAACAGGCAGTGCACGCTTTTCCAATGGCAGTTCTTTAATGACTTCTAATTCGAATGGTACGGCTAGTGAATTTGGCAGTCATCAACACACTATTGCTACGGACTTCACAAATATTACCATACGTTCAAGTGGAGCCCACATGCATTCAATAACAGGTGCGACGAGTGTAACAGGTGGTGGACAGCCGTTTGATATTATGCCGCCGTACCAAACAATTCATTTCATAATTCGAGTGTAAAAATGAATTCATATTTTCATCTCAAAGTTGAATCTACCTATGACTTCATTTTTTTTACATTAAGAAACGACTGTTAGAATTTTTTCATTGCTTATTTTATATCAAATGAAATTCTATCCTTATTTTCAATAAAAATCTATGTTTAATCAGTTATAAATTTATGACTCTCTACTTTAATTCGAATCAGGATTGGAATACTCAGATACATAGAGACACACCCGATTTTCTTTTGTTTTAAATAACACTCTCAAACTCTCTATGAGGTTCACAAAAGACATTTCAAAGTTATATCTGAAAGATGTTCATTAAGGGCCCCCCCCCCCCCCCCTTAGAAATGATTTTCCACTTAGCATGGCCCTTTTGCGCTGAAATTTTCCGGGATGAGTGATCCTGGAGAGATACGCTTCCGATAAAAATTTCAGCTGGATTGGTCGTACTAGACCGGAGTTCCAGCTGATTCATAGGTCATTTTTGGCCTTCAGGAGAATCGATATAACTTCGTCATAGCACGAGGTATCGAGCTCGGGCTGGTCTCAAATTAAAGCTAATGTCAGTACGCAACTTTTGTCCGAACAGAATTTTCAAATTCAATCTTATTGATTTTTTATGAGTATTTTAAAGGAAGGGTCTAAAAATCAGCATAAAAAATGGTAATCTAAAGGCAGTAAATTCCATTTTTCTCATCGCAGGAATCGACTTTAAAAAAACTGGTCGGACAAAAGTTTACTCTCATTGAGACCTTTAAAACAAAAAAAAAACATCGGTAATCTGCCGAGCCAAGCCGGAGTTATTTCAATTTTTCGGTCTAGAAACCATGTTTTGAGAAAAACGCTAAAGAAGTTTTAAAAATGAGTTTTTCGTTCAAATTCGAAAAAAACACATTAAAATAGCATATTTCCAATATATTTCATAGAACTTTTTAAAAGCGCGTAACTGATGCAGTAAACTAACGCCATCTGACATGCCGCTTAATATATAAAAATATTCCGAACGCAAATTTTCTAAAACTGAAAACCTTTAAAACTACGAAAATTTCTCCGAAAACATGGTAGTAGATTTTAAGTCTCATGTGGTAAGTCTTTGAAAATCTGATCATTTTCAAAAAATCTATAGATATTCTGATACAGGAAGCTTCGCTGCATCTTCCTATAATAAAATCTCAACTTCGATATTTCCCTGAAAAACTCGATTTTCTAAGGGGGGGGGCCCCCTTAACAGAGCAGATCAATTTACCAATTCACAAAATATTATTGAAAAATTTATCTGTCACAATATCGATAAACAAATAAGGGTGTGGGTGTGGGTGTGGATGGGTGTGGGCGTAGGCGTTGGAATAAATCTGAAGAATAGACACATCCGAACTGACATCCACATATACGGGCACACCCACACCCTCAAGTGTGAGTTGTTGAGTAGGCTCTACGTGAATTAATTATTAAAGTATCTAATATAATTGTTACTGTTTTCGGCGTATCTAGTGATTCAATAAGTACATTTAAGTGATAAATTGATAACGTAAGCTTTATTATAAAATCTGTTCATGCATACGTTTTTCTGGGTGCATTAATTTTTTTTCTAATTCTTTTCATTAAGGTTCGCTCGGAATCCTATACTTCAGTTAATTAACTGACATAACATCAGTTTTATCTTCTTATGATGCTGTAGTTATTGAATGATCCTTTGACTTTTCCGATTTTAGCATCTCATAATTTTGTTAATGTAACTAAATAAAACAAATTTTCTTTTTGTTAAAGCCTTTAACAACAGAGTGTTCTTTGTTCATCGCATCTTACACTAATAGAAGCACCTCTCCTGGATCGAATTGTATGTGTACATTTTATCCCTTAATATTTTTAATATACAATCAAGAAAAGAATTATTTAAACTTTAAGTTAATGCTTTGATAATAAAATTATATTGATATGATGGAACATTCTTTTCTTTTTTTCTAGAATCCAATTACCTTTAAGAACATCACGACAGCATAAAATAAATTAGCTATTACTTTAATCCTTGATAAAGATCATCTTTTTGATAGAGATATAAATAGTAGTTCTACAGAAATAAAGATATATCATTTTGTTTTATTTGTAATTTAAAAAAAAATGAATCTATTGAGTTGATCATTATTTTGTTGCTTTACTACAAAGATGATAACGGACACTTTAATTTAAATTTTGTTATTCGATAAAAACTTGTTGTTATTGCCGGTAAAATTTGCACTTGCATATATTCATTATTTTTTTCTTTTTTTTATCATATATTTATAAGAAATATTCTATTAATGGACTATCACAATCATTACCTGACATTGCCTGTTGTAAGGTTATTAACTGGTGATTCTAACTTTAAAGGTTGACTTTCAGAGTTTTCAGAACATATTTTTACTAGATAGCAGAACATGCAGGAAAACTGTTTCTATGAATAATTTACTTCAACTCACATTGATCTAGATATATTATATCTTTGTGTAAAATAATCTGTTAATGTTGTATCATTATCACTTGATGGTTTTAGCCATGAATTTTCCATTTAATTTAATGAAACAATTTTTGCTAATAATGATGATACTTCTGATATATCTGAATGTGTATATGAGCTTTCAGCAGTAATCTGATGAATTTTTATTAATTTCGGCAACATTCTAACATAATTTTCTCCATATACGTAAAACTGATGTGAAACATCTTCAGAGAACCGAGTATGATTAATCCACAATTAGAGAAACATTTTGTTTTCTTATTTATTTCGATATTTCGAATAGAATTTCGTTTCTTTCTTAGCACACTAATTTTATGTGACTTGTTTCAATTTTTTCTTTATTTATTTTCTATTCGATTATAATTATGATTATTATTACTTTTATCAAGGCCCTCTTATGCAACTTGGTAAACTTCAACATATTCATAGTGATTATTTCCAAAGTTAGAACTTCATTAAGTCATAATTTTCCGAGCATAATTAGTTGAATTTGTGCACAAACTATTCTATGCAAAGAACAAAAGCAAACGATAAATCGATCAAATTAATGTTTCTAATTTTCAATCAAACTTAATATTCATATAGAAGTCATAAATTTTTGGATCATCATTAAGAGTGTGAGTGTGGAGTGTGGTTGTGGTTCTTGGTCATCCATTTCACACAAATCGACACTCTTACCCACACCCTCATCCACCTACACACATGCACCCTCTACTAGTTTGGTATAAGTCATGGCTTCCCTTAACGATCATTAATCTCAATAAAAAATTGAAAATAACATCAACAAATCATGGAAAAGGAATTTAAATAAATCATCAACAACTTTAACAAAGAAGGGTATTTGTTATCAACAGAATAATCTGTTACATGCGCTTCCTGTAATATTATTTGATTGTATAGCTTCACATTTAAAAGCTCTGATGATTTGTGTTGTACTGAATGTATGATAAAGGAAGGGCTAACTACAAAACGAAAACTTTGGCATACTATTTTTTTACATGTAACAATTTGTAATTTTTCATTAATACATTCTTAAGGGACAAATATTAATATGTACAACTTTTTTTTTTAAATAGACTTTGCAGATATTACATAATAGATACAATATTTATACATTCAGGATTTTAATTGAGGTTTGTGATTCGATTTTTTTTATATACGATTATGTTTGCCTAAAATTTTTCAATTGATTAATTTATTGTAAGTTTAAAAAGAAAATCAGTTCGAAAATGATCAAAATCTGAGTTTAGAAATATACATTTTCGCACATGTGTTGTAATGAAAAATTAAAATTAAGGAAAAATTTAAAATAGTCTTCTTTAATGTTTAACAACAATCTAAAGTCAGATATTACTCCTAAACAGCTTACGGTGTATCACAATGTAAAGAATGAAGATTTTCTATTCAAAAAGGTTACTTAAACAATTTTTTATCTGTGCCTAATTATATTTATTTATTGAATTAAGAGATTACACATTAGTAAGTTTTATCCCCGAGAAGTTTAGTTCTCATAGGAACTGGTATTCGAGCGGGAATACTTTTGGCGACTAGTGCAAATATTACACAAATAGTAACAAAAGAGAATTTTCTGTTTGAAATTTAGGAATAGTCTGCGCTACTAATTAATCAATATAATTAGAAAACAATAGTTCTATAGGGTATACGGTAATGGAGAAAAAATATCATTAAAAGATCGTTCAATAGCGTCATCTTTTTATAAGAGGAATATTTAATTTTAAAAATTTACTTGTTTTGTCAGTATCTAATTAGTAAAATGAAACGTGTATATCATGTAATATTAATATGAAAACTTTTTCTCTAAATATTCTGATAGACTCTGCCTGTATTATACTAAAAACGTTTTATATTCGTTATTTATTTAACGACTATAGAATTTCAAATAGTTATAGCATTGTATTCATACACAAAGAAAGAAAAGGCAGTTCGTTCATAATTTTATATTTTCTTGTAGAAAATTTTATCAATCGATTATTTTACTAGTTCAATATTAACAATGTGGTTTGATGAAGATCAACAAACAAATCCACACGATACAATAACAGAAGAAAATTCATCCGATGAAGAAACAGAAAAATGTACATGTCATAAAGGATGTTCAAGTCGATCTTGTTCGTGTTTTAAAGATGGTAGTGGATGTAATTCATCATGTGGTTGCAATGCAACTTGTCGAAATATGTTCAATCATCTTGAATATTTTTTTGGTAAAGATGAAAAATATTCTGCTCATCCATGTTTTGCACAATGGCTTAAGAAAACTGTAAAAAATGCCGATGCACTTCAAATAATTGATCGAGAAAAATTACGTCAACGTATTATTAAATCTGAAAAGTAAACTGGTTTTTCTTTTGTCTATTAAACTTTCATGGTATAAATTTTTAGTTATCCGGAAATGTTTGAAGATGATGAGGGTTCAAAAGAATGGAAGGAAAAAAATGAAAATGAAAAATTGGCTGATACTCAAAGTTTATTTCGAAATCTAATGTCAAATCAAGCAACGG